AAAAAAAATAAAAAAAAAAAAAAAAAATATATAAAGAATAAAGAATATTTGTTTGGACTCTAAAAATTTTAATTTCTGTATATATATATATATACCTTTTTGTGAAGGAAGATGAAGTTAAAAAGCTAAAAAAAAAACAATAATGTCATGAACTCGTGACATAGTCATACAAAATAACGCCTTAGATTTTTTTTATCAAAAAAAAAAAACTTTAATGCAGTAATTTTTTTACGTCGTACATCCATTGTACCTCGTGATTAAAAAAAAAACTAATATGGACTTTTTGTAATAAATTCGCTGAATTTTTAATAAATTTTTTCGCGTTTCTTTTCTAACCAATAAAAATTTTTATTAAGTAATTTGTTATAATCGGAGATTTTATTTGCCTAATGATTACGTAATTTAAATTAAATTATTTTATTTATTTATATTTTCGATTTACATACATAATTTACATTTAAAGTTTTATAATTTATCTGTAAAAGAACTTATTGAAGAATTTTTTTTTAATAAGGTTTGAAGCTTTTTGAAAAACTATATATTTATTGCGGAAAGTTCTTTGTGATTTGTATTAATAATATTCGTCATTAGTTTTGTAACTTTCATTTTTATTTGACATCTGCAAGTAAACGAATCTATTTTTACGATTATCAGACTTTTTTTTTAGATTATGTGGTATAACTTGCATTGCGTAATTACATTTTCGTTACAAAGTCGCATAAAAAAGACATATTCTTTGTTCGCTATTTATCCAATATTGAACTAGTTTCTCTTGATTCACAAAATAATAAATAATAATGTTTACAACTGGTAAAAAAAAAAAAAATATCTAGTATTTTGTGCGGAATAACTCACGGGTAATTCTATTAACTAAAAAAAGTCTTATTTTATGTATTATACATGTATATGTATATATGTATATGTTACTCATATTTGCCTTTTCTATAGTTTATAACTCATAAATTAAATCGGTAAACAATGTAGTAACCCCTTCAAATTTATTTATTTTTTTTTTTGTTGTACGGCTTACGGCTGATTGCGGGTTGATTAATTTGTGGCATTGGTATTATTATTACCTTATTTTATCAGCCATAATAAAAATTTATATTCATAGATTCCGGTTCTAGACCCTAAGTGCTATGATACATTTTTTAAATCAGCATTCTAATTTATTAAAAAAAACTTGCTGCGCAAAGTACAACTAAGATCAACTGATCTCTGTTCAATTTTAAAAAATTAAATATACTTTTTTGGTATAAATTCGAAGTTATGATCCATTTATAAGGCAATGACTTTGTGAAGCAATTAAGACAAAATCAGATCTTTTACTCACTCTAAAAATGAAACAAGAAAATGAAACTGAATAAATTATTGCTCTAGATGATTAATTATTTTCATGATAATTTGACTTATTAGTGGACATCAAATGAATCAATCTGATAAAAATGACGTGTTTGGATATATTCTGTTATCTATTTTATTGTTTCTGAGTTATTGGTGGAAATTTACATAAAATTTTGGTCATTTTTTTGTTCTTACTGCTAATTTCTCAGTTACTTTAAAGTATATCTCATAAATTTACTACTTTTTATCTAATGTTAGTTATTTTGCTTGTCAAATGTATAGTTCATACCTAAATACATATTAATATTGCATACAATTTATTTATAACATAGATCAACTATTATATTGATCAATAGATTTTGGATAGTGTTCTGCATAAATCAAATTTTTCCTTTAAAATTCAATTCAGTTTGAACTCAATTTAGACTTAATTTGACTTCAAAAAATATTATTTCAGAAACTAGTGATCCAATTTTGATGATCTTTTTTTAGTCGATAGCTTTTATTACTCTGATTAAAATAAAAAAAGATCATTGAAATTAGACCACTAGATTAAAAGTTATTCACAAAATATATTTTTACCTTTCAGGATCAATCAGAACATATCATGTCACAAATCAATTTATGCAAAACACTAATTTTAAAAGAATTGGAGATATTAAAAGTAAAAGATCTGTTATATGGAATTAAATATAAATTAAAAAAGTTATTGAAAATATTAAAGTTATCATATAAGGAAAAAAATGTAAATTTAGAATTAGAAATAAATCATATAATATAAGAGAAGGTGCATTATAGTATATTTTTTTTTTTTTTTGCAAGGTAGTGCAATTTGTGAGTTTATTAATTATATATAAGAATACAAAAGCATCTGTTATATAACTAATTTATTAAAACTCCNAGTAATTAGAGTTAGAGAGATCAATGCAAAAAAGCAAAGTACACTTGATGGTTTTTTTGATAGGTAAATAACATTAATATAATTTTTAATAATTGCGAGATGTAATACTTTTATTAGTTATAATAGTTATAATAGTTATAATAGCGTAAAATAATAAAATCGGATTTGATATACATATTAGAAGGCAACGTGCTTTATTTTTATCATGTTATATAATTATATTTAATTTTAAAATAAAGATTATTATATAAAAATAACAAATAAAAAAAAAATTTATAGTCACGCTAATACAAAAATTTTATATATATGTGACTATATTGTAAAAGTCTCATATAAGCACACCTCTCTATAGTCACAGCATTGTGTGGTCCCAAGAGGTGTGACTATAGAGGGGGACGACTGTATATGCTTCCACTACCCTCTAAACAAAGAAAAAAAAAAGGGTTATGTTATATTTATATATTTTTTTGTTGTTATATACTTTCCAAAATACCCTATTTCCCTCTTTAATAAATTGATTTATATATTGTCTTGCTTTTTCTAATGCTATTGACCATTGTTCATTATGTTTTAATATTTTCCTCTTTTCCAAATCATATATGCCATCCTCTGTCTGTAAAGTTAGAATCCTTTTATATACAATACGTTGATGTGCTAATGGTTTTTTTCTTAAGTCTTGTTTTTTTATACCCTTGGTATGCTCCCATTCTGCTGTTACCTTGCAACGTAGTTGCCAAATAATATTGTAAAATTCATTAACAAATACTTCTAGAAAGAGGGCTGCAATAGTTAATGCTATTCTTTTTGTCTTGACAATAATTTTGAGCTCCCTGTATTTTTCTTTTGGAAAGAAACTTCTTATCATTAAATGAATATGCGGAATGGGTAAATCAAGATTAGCATCAATAGTATGGGCAAAGAAGTTTCTGTTCCATATGAGTAATTGTTGTATATCTTCCTGAATTAATTGAATATTTTTTTCTTGTAATAAGAAGTTCTTGATTGTTTGATTACATTTACATACAGTATTGTTAGCTATAGTTATCCATTTATCACTGAGCTGTTTGCAGTATATCATATGATCATCATCTTCATTTTCTTCAAGACAAAACCTGCACTTTACATCTCCATATAAGTCATATCTTCTTTATTTCATGATTTCTAAAATTGGAAGCAAATAATTTAAAAGTTTCAAGTGTTTGATAAATCTGTCATTTATCATTGATGTTGTGCAGTTAGATCCTGTGTTTTTTTTAAATAATGTCCAGGTGACTTCTTCTTCTATTGTGTCAGTTGTGTCTGAAAATACTGATCTATGTGTACGATTGAGGGACCATGCTGCGTCTAATGTGGATTCACACAAATTATCTATGAATTTTCTGATGTGCCTGTCAACTCTTATACCATCCCAATAAATGTCATATATTAAATCTTTTTGTTGTGAATCTTTAATTTTGATGCAAGTTAAACTATTAGTATCATTTTTAGCTACCCTATCTGCTTCTTCATTGCCTTTGACTCCAGAATGACCTTTGACTTTTACTAACTTTATTTCTAACCGTTTGCTGTCAATAAGGTTAATTATACAACTTACTATGCTGTAGTTGTTGCATTTGCACCAAATTCTTGTTTTGTTTTTTCCATTTGTTAAATTTGTTCTTATGTAGTTGATACTATCTATAGCAGCTTGTGAGTCAGTAAGGATATTTGCTTTCTGACCTGTTTGTAAAACCAATATAGCTGACAAGATGGCTCCTAATTCTGCACATGTGGATGAGGGCCAGTCTGTGATTGAACTACTACACTCCAGTATTACTTCGTCTTTACTATTCAGTATCACCCAGCCTGTACCCATGTATTTTGTAAAAGTGTTAGAACTATTGTTAAAGCGGTTTGTTAATGAGCCATCTGTGTAAATATTAATCATGTCAGATGGGTTAAAGGTTGATCTTATTTGTTGTAGCAACGCTATATGCTGTGTCATGGCTTCATTGTTCACTAACGTGTTTTGTATTAGAGCCGTGTCATAGTCTACCATTTGTATGTAACTGGGGCTATGCTCTACATTTTGTTGTAATTGTGGGTAGCCTCTGGTTTCTATAATGTCCTTGATTATTCTAGTATCTGGATCAGTTCGGTATTTGGATACTCTATTTATACATGTTAACGACGTGCGGTCTTTATTGAAGAAGCAACCACGGTTTTCTTTGTTGACCCTTCTGTCGTTTAGTGAGCAACCTCCACATCGCTTAATTAATTTATATGGCACTTCGTTGTCCATTCTCTGCTCACTG